TGGTTCGGTGCAGCTACAGTGGACCACTAGATGTCTCGATGTAAACACAAGATGCCGTGAATACAAGCTTGAATTGCATACTGCGGAACTGTCTATCTACACCAGCCAGTTCCTCCGTATATATAGTCCTTGTGCCAAGCCGTGATCAGTCTCCCAAGGCCACTGATCACCTCGGCTCAGTCTGCTCAGTGCCCTGATCACACTGATCACCTCTGCTCAGTCTGCTCAGTGCCCTGATCACACTAATCACTCTACTCAGTCTGCTCAGTGCCCTGATCACACTGATCACTCTGCCTTCACTGTGATTGGCTCCCCTATACGTTCTCCCGATTGGCCCCTTATTCCCGTGGCCCCACAACCGTCCTGTACCAGGGTTGTGACACTATACTTAAGTGTATTTTATAAGATGGAAGAGTCCTTCCCTCCGGAATTATCTTTAAAGGTAAAGACTTTTAAAAGTAATGGTTTAAGGACTAATTAAATAAAGACTAGTATATAGCTATATTAAAAAATAACTAAATTAGTAATAACTTTACTATTGGTTAGCTTAAAGAAGTTTTTATATTAAAGATTAAACCTAAGGATCTATTAGAACCCCGTCTTTTTATTTATAATAGCTATAGCTTATATACTACTAACGACTTTATAATCCGGTACTATAGGAGTAATATTTACCTTCTTTTCCTACCCCCCCGCTGCTCTTACGTCCTTCAACCCCTTAATATTAATTACTTTTCTAGCGTAAAAAAGGCGTATAAGAGGCTTATAGCTGTGAACGACGCCCTTACTAACTATACGCCTAACGGTAAAGTCGACTTAGTCCGGCTATATAACTTTGCCCGTAAGTAGGGCTTTAAGAAAGAAAATATTACCGGCGGCTGGCGTGGGACAGGATTATGGCCCATACGTAGGCGCAAACCGCTTTTTTCAAGCCAGGTAGTAGTCCCTGTGGTGCCGTTGGATCTCTCTTCAAAAACACCTACTTTCTATACCGTGGGGGATTCCCAGGTGGCCAAGAAGGTCAGGGACCTACTTAAGAACTATACGCCGGCCGGAAAACGGCTTGCGGCAAGGACTCTCACCAGTACTATACTCACACTGAGATCTGAGGCATCCATCCACAAAGCTGATACGGCAAGGCACCAACAGAACGCCCAGAAGGCCCAGGAAGCAAGAAAAGGCGCAAGTTGAATAGAGAAGACTCGAATTCCAAGTTTGTGAGACTCTGTGAACTGGAAGAGGCCCGCATTGAAGGGAGGGTGGTGGAGGAAGAAGTGGTAGCTAAGGAGGATGTGGAGCAGCTAGAGCCAGCCCAGCCTGTGCGGCGCAGCGCACGTCATCGGGTTCAAACCAGGCGCAAGCGAGAAGCAGATGCAATGTCTGACTCTGACAGTGATTGAGCTACATTTTGGTATAACTCCCATAGAAATTGACCCAATATTAGTCTTGTTGTGGCCAGTGTGATCATTCAGGGGTAATCTCAACAAGGTTGTGTGGCTGGTGTGGTGGTGGTGGACCAGATCCACATGTGGTCCATTTCCTGGTCATCCAACCTACGAGTCTTGCAGGTCTTTCTTGTTCTCCCGGCATTCTTGGCGCCCCCAGTGTTGTCAGTGGAGGTGGCCAGAGTCTCGTGGCCACCTGTTGGGTTGACAGCTGCAAAAGTCTTTGGAGCGTTATCAATCGTGCTGTCCGTCTGCCCAGCGATGATCTCGCTTGCCAAGTCTCCCTCGAGAGACAATTCTTTGGCCTGAGTCAAGATGCCCCGGGGCTCGGTGACAGCTTCAGGTTCTGTGACATACTCGGACTCGGCGAAAAGCTCAGCTCTGTCTTTGAATGTGTGAACTCCGCTGCATTCAATAAGATTATTGAAGGCAACGTGCATGTTGATAATGATGGTGAACATCCTGGCGAGTCGAGTAGAGCTGCTAGAATACACTGGTATTGTGAGAGGGTTAGATCTCGGTGCGATGTCGTTACCAAGTGATAATTGGTATTCTGTAGCTTGATGGAAAGGAAGAAGAGAAGAGTTCGAGATCTGGGTTTGATTCCGAGAAGAGATATTTTATAAGTTTATGTCAGGGACTCAGGAGCAAGTTGGCTGACTGTCAGAATAAAGCAATGAGCTATTCACCCAACTAGACCGATAGTAATGCTATCATAGTGGATATCCAAGGTATCTGGTGAAGGTTTGAGACAGTCCCAATATGCTAATGTCAAGTGAACATGTTGGTGACTTGCTGTCGACGCATTGCTCCTGCTCAGAGTCACTTACGTAAACGACACAAGTAACTCTTCAGTATTCACTGAGAGCAATAAGGTAGGATAGTTATTTCATAATCCGGGCATCTTCGAACCCGAACCTGAACTCGGAGCAATGGCGCATTCATATTCCACTATGGGGCGTTGCTTGAATTGGAGTGGCCTGGCAGGGAGCAACTCAGAAAGACTTAGGTGTCTTGATTTTGTTGGCTGAAGAGGAAGTGTAAATATACACAAAAGACTATGGCTTTAATTCGAGAGTCATTTGTCGATTTTGCGTCAGTCGGGTGAATTCCGGTCTAGAAACTTGTGGAACACAAACCAGGGCATCAAACAGATGAGAGCTAAGGTAGATTCTGTGAGTGATACCATAGTACTGCATTTTGCTCTTCAAACTCCAGAGATGGCAGCTAAACACCATCAGTTTGCTCCCACAATGACCTCATCAATCACGCCCACCAGCTGCTTTGTGGCCGTGACGTTGGGACAATGACCAGTTTCCAAAACAAACGTCTTTACTTCCCTCCCTTCCTTCTCGATATTCGCCACCAACGACTTCTGGTATTCAAATGGCACCATGTTGTCTTTCGTGCAATAGACATAGGCAACCGGGTTTTCTTTCCAAGCAGCCGGACCTGTAACGGTATCCCTCGTACAAAGTCCATTCCAAACCGACACTAGTGAGTCGAGATACGCTTGCACCTCTTCCTCGTTTGACTCGCCGAGATCATCCCCAATAAGTGGTCCCTTCGCATCCCGGAAACTGAGCCCGCCATCCTCGTCGATATTAAATACAACAGGCATCGACTCTTTGTGCCCGAACTCTGCAATAAGCGCTGCCATGGATTGCCCCTCAGCCAGCGCAAAAGCACAGACATAGATCAGTTGAACAATGCCGCCTCCAAGTCCCTTCTTTGAGCGGGCTTCACGGCTGAGCCCATGCAGAGCGTTGGTGCCTACTTTGCCTCCATATGAGTGCATAATGATGACGACTTCGCGACCTGCCTCAACAAGGCTGGAGACGTACGACCGAAGAAGCTCTGAGTCAGTAGCTAGGCTAGAATTGGGAGGCCGTGCGCCGTTCACCGACGTCAGGCGAGGACAATGGACTTCGTAGTCGAGGGCTCGAAGGGAAGTGATGAGTTTAGTCATTGATGACGGTGTGTGCCAAGCGCCATTGACATGCACAATGGTTGGCTTTTGAGTTGAAGCCATGTTGGTGTTGAGAGCGTTGACTGAAATAGGCAGGGACTGTGTATGTCGTTTGAGGTGTCGAGGTCGGTGTCTTCATTTTTTGAAGGGGACAAGCCTCGACTTATATGAGTTTCACGGTTCTATCTGACTCGCATATACCCAGGATCATCGTTTAATGGCCAATGATGACTACTTGAGTGAGCAAGGCCCAACCGTATTTTCTCGAATAACAGTGTTGTATTGCGAGGCGTAAGGTAGGGCGTGGGAAAGGAACAATATTGTATGACAAGAGCGAGATTGAACGCCAAAGACCGAGAAGACCGGACGCATAACCCCACTGGAACTCTTTTCTACAGATGTTGACAATTCCTTGGTCAGCCCTACAGCCCTATGAGGTCTGGCGGACTGTGACATGTCAAGCCAGATTCCGGGCACTCGGACTGAGACAGAAGACTGTTTGTAAGATAGCCGCTTGGCAACATGGTTAAGAGGTGCAGAGTTGTCTTCCGCACATTAATTGGCCACGCACAATCGCGGTGTTGTCAATCGAGGAATGGCCACCCGCCACTGATTTGGATGCTCGACTACAGAGTAGGTGTGGGCAATTCCGAGTATTGGATCGCTATGCACATGTTAACCGGCGGATTGGGACGTTGTTGGGCTGTTGGCCGTTGGAGGAACCATGATGAAACCGAGTGTCGTTTGTGGTCAGCCCTGTCATGTTGCATGAATCTGTCTCCGTGTCGACAACGTGGCTCACGATGTCGCACTGTTTGATAAGATGGATAAGATAACGGCTGATGCAGGGGTCCGTGCACGGCAGGTTAGCAGTCCATGACGTGAAGTCGACGGAAAAACAAATTGTTCCGACTACCAATGTCTCGATATGCACCTCTAACGGGCGACAACCTATCGCTGACGTCGAAACATTTTCCAGAGCGAAGAGGAGAGCCCCATGGTGACACTTACACCGAGCCGTGCAGTGATACTCAGGAACCGCCAATTCGACAGCCTTCTGCGACCATTCAGGCTTTGACTCTATGCGGAAATGATCTTCATCGAAGAAAGCACCCCAGCTGTCGAGTCCCCGAGGGTGTGGGAGGAGCCGCAGTCAAGCGGGGCGGCATGGATCCCTTTCAACCCTTGGACATACACAGACACATAGCACGACCAGCGAGGCTCGATCCCAAGTTATCTCCGACACGGTTACCTCAGCCAAGCAGCTATCATCTTTTCACGGCGGACAGCGCAACCGGTCATCGCTGCTCAAGGGTCGATGTATCTCGATGTCGATGGTGGCTGACCGCATGGGATGAACGCCTGTCTCAGTTGAGATGGTGATGGAGGGACGAGCAGAAGAAAACCTTGACTGAACGGCCAACGGAACTGCTTGGCACCTTTGCACACACCCTGCCCGATGACGTAGCGTCCTGCCGGTTCCAAGGCCCTGCGCATGCGACTTTTTCGGGCCCTCCCAAAGAGGTGTCGCTTCGGAAAACTCTCCAGCCCCCTCTGAAGACTCCATCTTCCATGACCCCCGGGCCAATCCCACGCCCTCTCTTCCTACCTCTTTGCTCTACCTGGATACCGTGGATGTCGCCGAAGGGCCCCGTACGGAATCCTTGCCCTAGATGCTACACCTTTCCACGTCGTGTCCAAAACTGTCTCCGTCTCCCCCTCCCCCTCCCGCTCCTGTCATAACCTCAACTATTGCTGCGAGCCAAAAGACCGGCTGGCCACTCACATCACGAGTCTTTGCTGGAGCCGAAAAATATAACTCCCGTGCCCAGAATCAGTCTCCGTTCCACCCCCATCTTACCGTTTCATGCGCTGTGTTTGGTACCTCCCGTCTTCTGCTCCGTCTTTTGCTCCGTCATCGCTGAACCCTCCAAGCCCTAGTCCGCAAGACAAGGTGGGGGACGGGAAATGGTTGATGCGAGTCCTGTCCACCAAGCCAGCTTTGGGCTGACGGGGCCATACGCCGCCAATACGGCCTCGTCGGTGTTGGTTGGGCATAGCTATCGTCGACCCATCCCCGCTTCCGCTGCCGGCCTGCTTCCATGTGTCAGCACCCCAGAGACCAAACCAACATATTTGACCGATCACCGGGCATCCTGGATTGACCGTAGTGTCCGAGGCCGGCTTGGATCGCGGTCAGCCCTTCTTTAAAGAAGATGGGCGACCCTCCAGCGACACCGACATCAGCCACCGTCGATGCCAGCCCCTCGATAGCATCCTCATCCAGTTCCAATATCAGAAAGGAGAGAGGCGCCATCGCCGCACAGGTTCGGACCCTCATCCCCCCTATCACTGGCCAGTGTATGTTCTCTGACCTTGTCTTCAGGCATGCGATACCTGCCGCAGTCGAAAGCAACGATGCGATGAACAGCGTCCCAAATGTGGCACCTGTCAAAAGTTCAGGCTCGAATGCAACTATCGAGAGCCCGTTCCCACCAAGTAGGCTCGGCATTTCCCCTGCCCCTTTCTTCTTTGCCCTGTCCTGCTTCCTGTGTCGGTGAGCAACTAACGCGTGGTACAGGAAAGACAAGACTCTAGTGGAGATTCTCGAACGGTTGAAGGGCCTCGATGATCGGTTGCTGAACTTGGAAACGAAAGTGGACGATTTAGGCCATCGGGGAAGCGCCGGCCCTTCCGCCCTTGGCTTCCCCCATCTTCAGGCACCCGACTATGCCAGTCAGGCTGGAGCTGCGATGATTGACCCAGCGCTGACAGCAGCACCATTTAACTTGCAGCACGATTTGTCTCGAAACGCACCGGTGGGTCAGGACCAGTACAAATATGTTTCCTCTGTTCACCAGATGCTAGGCTGGCCAGCGGTACAGCAACTGTTTGCTTCGATCCAGGCGCGGTTGCCACACGTCAACTTCTCCTCGTTGGAGCGCGATGGAGTCTCGCACATGCTAGGAGTCCATCGCCCAGAGTCACAAGGGCTGCCTTCCGAAGGCACCATGCGCACTGAGCGTTCGCCTGGGCTTCTTACGACCTTGACCTGGGAAAACGTTCGGATGTGGAGCCAGGCTTACTTCGACACTATGAACCTCTTCTACCCTATTCTAGATCGCCAGTCCTTCATGCAGGAGACTTTGCCATCCCTTTACAGGAGCGGCTTCAGCAACTCGATATCCTCGACCATCGCCCTGCTGGTATTCGCTCTCGGGGAGGTATCGCTAGAAGGAAGAGAAGGGGCACCTGTGCACGTTTACAACGGACGAGCGAGTGGGGTGAAAGGAGGCTCGAAAGCGCACCCCCCTGGACTTTCTTTGTTCAACGAGGCGAGAAGCAGAATGGGGTTTGATCTCACGGAGTGCAGTCTGGAAAACGTTCAGATATTCGCCCTCGCAAGGTAGGACACCCTGCTCCATGTCGTGTGTAAGCATTCCAGCCAGTTCTTAACAATAGTTTAGTGCATATTATGGGAGCTGCTTCTATCCGATGGTGTGTCTCTCCTAAACTGCAATCTGTTGGAAGGCAAATTGCTAATCGGCGCACAGGACTTTTGGAGAATGACTGCCTCCACCTCTTTGGCACTTCAGGCTCTCATAACCAGGTACGGTTCCCTAGTTTTGGGTCAATTGATGGAATCGCTGCTAAAGTGGGTAGCAACCCCGGAGAGCTATCCTCACCGAGGGTGGACATGATCAGGAGAGCATTTTGGCATTGCTCTATCTTGGAGACGTAAGTAGCCTGGTGTCTGTAAAGCTCAAAATGGTTCACTGACAAGAGCCCGTCTAGTTCTCTCAATCTCGAGCTGGGGTTCCCGCTCACAGGTCTTGAGAGGATGGAGAACAATGTAGGACTTCCGACTTTTAGCGGTCCTTTCTGTGAAGACGATGTCATTAGCAACCAACAGTCTCATTTCCAAGAGCATTTCGCCTCTCAGATTGTCCTGAGGCGGCTACTGGTGGGATTTCACCACGCCCTCAGCAACAGTACTTCCCTCTGCCCGATCCTTTTCCGTGGCCTTTGCTAACTTACGACAGCAGCACCAATGTCCGCCCAGTTAGGCGGTGTTCCCACCCCCTTTACTTCGGCAAACAACAGCCCTAGCCTTAGCCAGATTACGATCCAGCAGCTGGGCCTTCAACTGGAACAATGGCGCGGCATGCTCCCTCCTCACCTTCGCTGGCAAGAGGATTGCCCAGGAGCCTTCCCCAGCACTACTACCGACATGTTCGGCGGCAGCACCCACACCCCAGCCAGCACGCCCATCTCCCCGTCCATGTCTCACACCAGTCAACCATCATCACTACCAGCGGTATCGACACCAGCACCACCACTGATGTTCTCCACCGATCTCGACTCCCCTCCGGCTCAATACCCCTACGTCCTCGACATCCAAGTCGCGCTTCTCCGCTCTCGTTATTACTACGCCAAATACCTCCTCCACCGTCCCTTCCTCTACAAAGCTCTCCACTACCCCGACAGCGTGACCCAAGACGACGCCCTGGGCGCAGCCGAGTGCCTCAAGGCCTCGCTGAAATGGCCAGTGGCAATGTCCCCCACATGCAAGCACAAGCGGCTCGTGCCCTGTATGTTCTTCTTCACCCAGAACTTCTTTGGTATCTTGCTGTTATTACATCTGAGCACGACGGTGCCGCTGTTGAGGAGGATAAGAAGCACGCTTTGCGGCGAGAGGTTTGAGATGGACGCCAGGGAGACGGTGGGTTTGTATCTCGACTGGTTGAGGGACTTGAAGCCTATCGACGGGGGGACGGCGTGGCACTGGGAGGTGGTGAGGGCCATTTATGGTCTGGAGGGGGGTTAGCCGGTTAGCTAAGTAAGTACCGCGAAAAGGGGGGGGGGGGGGACCGATGACTTATTGTGGAATGGACTCCAAAGTAGAGGATGAATTGGATATTTATTACATCACCTTCACGTTGTTTGAGTGATGGGATCAAGTGACAGCTGTATAGTATAAAGACAAGTAATCAACCCCCTCCTGTCTTGACACTACCCTTTTCCTGTCCTTCACCAAACAGCTTGTTTGGATCACGCTTATAAGTGCCAAGGAGCCCCATGCGCCATTACCCAATCATCTTCCCCGGACACCCCCCGAAACCTCCCCCCACCTTGCCAGGAAAATGCTGACTAACCGCCTTGTTATTCAAACCCCTTTTCGGACCCCTTTCCGCCTCCCCTAGCCGGTTGTTGTTTTGTTGTCGGAAAACCACGTCCACTTTTTTTTTTGTTTTTTTTTTTGGCGCTTTCGGAGCAGCCACCTCCGAACTGCTCTTTTCATAAACCGACACTCGTACTCAACTCCACATCAAGCAAGAGGCCTCATGGCGCAACGGTAGCGCGTTCGACTCCAGATCGAAAGGTTATCCGTTCAAATCGGGTTGGGGTCATACAACTTGGATTCAGATCCTTTTTTGCAATCCTCAACACCCCCACCATCACCATCATGGTGATGGCTTCACGAATTATTGGAAATGCGTTGACAAATCAGGGTCTTTTTCTCTTAAGTAATAGCGTCAAAGACGTGCAGGGAGAGGCGAGGTGCTGCATATTCGGAACGGGTATGCAATGCACAAATGTCTGGGGTGCATAGGGGTTGCTGAGGAAGCGACGAGGTATTCTGCGTCTTCGAAATGTCTTCATTTTTGGTCAAAGATACTATCCAACAAATACACTTCCTTCAATTTCCCTTGTCATTAATTCAATCATCTAGCTGATCCGAAATATCCACCGCCAATCTATCCTCTACACGCCTGTCAGCCATACTCGCTACCTCTGGTATCCCCAATGAAATACCACCATCAGAAGCTAAGCACATGAGATATCACGAAACATGGGAAAGCAGGACAGTCAAGCATCAAAAATGAATGATCAATAAAACTTGTGCTTTTCTTCCTTGCTCGACACAGGACCCCATGAGACTCCTAAACTCCATTGCTCTTCAACAAGGATCATGCACGAATCCCGGTTCGACCAGTTCACCAACAAAAAAAACAGCCAACATCAAAAAGCCACGAAACCCCATGGTCACCAACGTTGCTACCTCGCCGACGACGCAGACGAAGAGCCAGGCTTCTCCTCATCACCCTTCTCGGTCATGGCCGCACTCGAAGGCGTCGAAATGCTCGCCGGTGTCATCGTGATCTCTCCACCCTTGCCAGTAACAGCCGCAGCTCTCTCCTTCTCCGATGGCTCCCGGGTGTTTCTGAAGTAATGATGCACCTCATCTGTCCACTCATCGTCACTCAAATCATCCATCCCAGTCGCATCACCACCCGCCTCCTTCTGGGCACGAGCTCTTTCCTTGCCCTCCCACTCCTCACGAATGTCCTCAATCTTCTGCCTGCGGTCCAGCTCAGGGTTGTAGTTCTTGCCTACACCTCTCAACCGCTCCCAGAGAGACAAGTGCTTGGGGTGAACGGCAATGCCATGGTAATCCTGGTCGCGACCGGCGCGGATGTAGGCCCAGCGACGCTCTTGCTCCTTAAGATCGAGGCCGGTGGTGTCAGGAAGGAAAAGCGAGGTAAGAAGCATACCCGCGAGACCGAACCATGGGACGACATAGAACTTTGTCTGAGTGTCAATGTAGTTGTACAGAACTGAAGCAAGCAAAGCACCAGCCTTGCCGATGCAAGCGCTGAAGCCGTGGGCAGAGGCGCGGATGGGCGTAGGGAAGACCTCGCCAGCCACGAGGAAAGTAACGCTGTTGGGACCGAATTGGTTGAAGAAACTCGAGAGGAAGTACATGGCCTGAAACGCCTTGATACCGGCCGGAGAGGTATAATATTCGTAGTTGAAGGCGGGGACGACGAACATGATGAAGCACATCAAGAAACCGACCTGCTGCATCATCTTGCGGCCATAGAACTTGTTGTCGATGAGGATAGAGGCGAGATAGTACCCAACAAGCGATACAATGACGTTGTACAAGTTCCAAATCCATCCAGTCATGACGGACTCAGTCGGCCCGCTCAAGACAGCGATAAACTGAGCCTGGAAAAGCTTGTTGCCGTAGAAGAAGACGTCGTTGCAGAACCATGTGCCAGCCGTGGCAAGCAAACGACCGCCAAAGATGTTACAGGCAAGGCGGAGGGAATCCACATCGTAACCTGTGACGTTGCTCTTCTTCTTGACAGCTGCGAGCTGGCGGCCCGCGTGCGGCATCTTGTAGGCACGGTGGTACACAAGCCATAGCGTACCGACAGCAGGGATGGCAAACGACACGCGCCAAAGCCATTGGGTGGTCGTTGTGCCGTAGGGCGGGTTGCCGTCGCCGTGGTGGAAAATCAGGAGGAGAATGATCAGCAAAGCCTGGTTGAAAAACTGACCCCAACCTTGCATCAAAAAGGCCATGGTGACCTTGCGTCCGCGGTGAAGACGGTCCTCTCTCGTAGATAGCTTGCCGGCGGAAACCGCGTTTTCCATCGATGAAGTAGCAGTAATAGGATATTCACCACCAACACCGAAACCTGTGATCACTCGTTAGCCAATGTCCAAACTCCCACCGGTTCTCTTCCCAAACTCACCATAGAAAAACAAACTCCAAGCATAGCAGATAACCCAGCCATTGAGATCCAGGCCCCAACTCGCCGTGATCATCAGCAAACCCACAAACATGATCGCAGCATCCTGAATCAACCCCCATCGTCTGCCAATCCAATCTCCAATAACCCCCACAGCCATCTGGCCAACCATAATACCAATAACCTCCAAATACGTCACCGAAGCAACCCAGTTGGCGCTGCACTCGGTCGCGTTCTTCCCCCAGCACTGCGGCCAGGTAGATCTGAACAGCGGCTCCAAATTCCCAATACTGAACAACACATAACCCTCCAATCCCAGCCCGGCACCAGGCAGCACCGCATTCGTCCAGTACCACGACACCGGGCTCAGCGGATCTTCCTTCATCATCCTGCCTATCGCCTTGACTTCCTCCCAGGCCTCCTTGTTCTGCACATTGTTCACAAACTTGACCCGCTCCTTGAGTGGGAGGTCGGCCCAGTACGTCCCCTCGGGGGTGTAGCAGTCGTCCGGGTGGGTGAGGTACGAGAAGATGGCATGTTGCTGGTCCATGCTGACGGATTTGGGGTAGTGTTCGTGCTCGTCGCCGGTGGAGGGGCCGTGGGGGACAGGGATCTCTCCCGCCCCGGGGGCGTGGTGACGATGGTGACGGAGGAGGTCGGCCATCTGCCGATTCTGTACGTAAAAATCCCCCCGCGCTTTGGCAAACAAACCAGATGCTCAGGTTCGAGCTGGTGATAAAAAGGAAGAGATACCGAGGATATGGGTAGTTTTAGGGGAGGGTGTAGAAGAAAAAATAAGGGAAGTGGGAAGGGGGAGAAAAGGTAAAGTTTAAAACCGAGCCAGTGTCCCGGCTAGTCCACTAGTCGTTCGTTGAGACTTGCGGGAGGAAGAGGGAAAGAAGGGGAAGAAGGGGAAAAGGTCAAAACGTTTTCAACTTCCTTTTAAGTAAAGTAATCTGTGGGTAGGTGTGGGTGTTGTGTACTTTGTAGAGGGGAAGGTGTGATGGAGCACGGGAGGCGGGAGAGGGGTCTTGATGGATAAAACGTCCACTCCCTCGGGGCCAGTAGCGACGATGGCCGATGTGAGGAGGGGTGGGGATGTGGTTTTTTTTTTTTTCCCTCTTCTCACGACAGGAAGCTTATCGCAGGACAGGGTTTGTCTTGTCACGGGAATCTACGCAGCGGGCAGTGGCACAGCGCCATGGAGTCTAAAGAGAGGGGCGTTTGGTCACTTTTTTGGCGAGTTTGGAGGCGTGGTATCGCCCTCTCAGCAATTTCTACAACTTCCTCGACTGCCGGCCACCTTGCCACTCCCCCCATATTTTGTGCTCTGCCCCATACGGAAAGTGGTCGCGTGGGCCGCTTTTCAACGAGCAGCCGGGCGGCAGCTGCCAGTTCGCTACTGATGTGAAGCTCCAAAGCTTTCAAAAAGCTTTGCTTTCAGGCCTCGGCACCAACACTTCTCTCGGCGGTGACTCAATCCATCTTTATCAGTCTTTACCGCCCGATCTGCTGCAAACTGATAGTCAAGGCCATCATCGTCCAATCTTCCCATTCAGGGGTCCGCACCCTTTGAAGAGCCTGCTTTGGTCTGCCACCGAGCTTCGCCTAAGCACCGGCCCCTACCTTCGCCTCCAAGAGTCAGAGCTTTAGACAAACTCGCATGGAATATTGCTGACTCTTGCTCGGCCTGCGCTCCTGTGGTGTTCGAGGCGGTCGAGGCAAGTCCCGTGCACGTGGACACTTCTTGACACTGGTGGGGGCTCGCGGGGTCAAGGATGGTCCTAGGACTGAACCCGTAGCTAGGACAGTCAAGCCACCCCCAAGAGCTCCCAAGACAACAACAAGCAATGTCGCCAATGCTTTGCCAATGCAATGCCAATGATGCCAATACAGCCAAGTGAGCTTGTTTGTGCTTGGCTTTCTGTGCTACTCAGGTTGTTCTCATAGGGCAGACTGTGCAATGCTGATCCGGATGTTGAGCACGCGACACAGGAATATGCTGTCCGCCAGCTCCCATGAATGCGGCCGAATGTACAGCATGTTCGGGGTCACATCCCTACCATCCGTAAACTCAACAGCGGGCACCCTCGGGGCTATTCTGATCCAATAGTTTACACACGTGGGTGGACTTCGAGAAGGTGGATAATATATGGTTGTTGGCCTGTGGGGAAGACGAAAAGGCGGAAAAACTTCAACGGAAGTCGGCACACACTTCACAGCAGAGGCCCTGTGTGATGTCATGTTGTGTTGCAGTCAAAAAATGTCTCGGCTGCTGCAAGCCACAAGGACCCCGAGCCGCATACGGAGAAGCCCGGCCGGCTAGTCACAGCTCACCTCACGCTACCCAGCCCTCAAGGAGAGCGCCCCCTATCCTCCTGTCTTAACCCTACACTAACTCGCCAGCTTCTCGTGGACAAGCCATCTCAGTGCACAGATATATCACCATCACGAGAACAGCCGCTTTGCAATCTAGTATCTTATATTATCACTCTCACCCCCCAAGCCCTGTGACCTAATCCCACAAAAGGTTACATCCTCTGCAAAAGCGTGCTTACTATCATCCCACAAATAACTCTGCAAAGCACGCTCAAAAAAACGGGGGGTATGCGACATACAACATTCAAGAAGCACACAACAAAACCCGCAAAAGCTCAACTCATCTCAAATCAATTTGTTCAAACGAACCATCTTCATCGCCAAAATATCACATTCCAAAATGTATCTGCTGTGCAATACAACGTTCAGTCCCTCCTTCCTTCTCGGGCAACACATGTACCGAAGTCAGCTTGCAAAAAAAATAAAAAATTAAAAAAAAATCACATATCTGAAACAACACTACCATCTTCCTCATCCCAACTTCACTTCTTGATGCTCGACTAATCAACTCGTACACACTATGCCAAAAAAATAACAAATGAAAGAGCAAAAGCAAAGAGTTGGTTCGTGATGCAGTCTTCAGCTTCCATCAAGCTTCCTTCCCGCCAGTAAAACGCCGCGCTGACTCAAAATGAAATATTGAGCGATGATATGTTGACAAGACAATGAAAGGAAATCTTGGGTTCGTGTATGTGTTATGTGTATGTGTGTGTTTGTGGTTGGGGCTTGTAGCGGCAATTTAAATCCCAGAAAAAGGCAAGACGTTGTCTCTATCGGTTACCCGCGCAGGGGGGCGAGGAGTCGGGTCTTCGTCAATGGACGCCATGAATGCCAAGGTCGAATTGGGACGGGGAGTCTCATCTACGTCGATATCTGCCTTGTCGACGCTTTCTCCCTCAGCAGCCGGTGGCGTCTCTACTCCCTCGTTGAGATCCTCCACCACCTTGGAAAGCGGCGTGATAGGAGTTGGGGCAATCTCCGGCCCGATACTCTCGGGGAATTCAAGCTGACCTTCATGATTCGGCGTGGCTACTTGTGTCTGAGGCTCTAGCATGCTGTCGTGGCTGTTTGCCCTCATCATCTCGATGCCAAGCTTGGACGAGGGCAGCTGTTGCTTAGCGCGCGAGTGTTTAGCAGATGGAGAGGCCGGGGTACGGCCAGTCCCCCCCGCATCCAACTCGTCGTCTTCGTCATCAGCCGAATCAACATTGCCCTCGAACCTCCGTTTTTCGAGCGACTCGCGCCTCGCCTTTAACTTCTCAAAGGAACGCTGAGGCATCGGTCCTTTCTTTTGGAGCGGCGAGTGTTCCATCTGGCTTGGTGCTGATTGCTGAGTCACCAGATGAGGGAGCGTGGGAGACCTCATCGGCTCGCCTTGGCCCGACAATATCTCCTCGGCACCTGAGATGCCAAGTCCGCCGCCCTCTTCCCAGTCACCAGTGGCTTTCCTGCTGATCAGAACCGGAATGTCGTCTGTCATGACGGACTCCGAGTCTCCATATAGACTAGATGCGATTGAGTCCTCCCGGAAGCTGCTGCTCGAACGATTGGCATATCCAGACGAATTAGAGGTGGGGCTGTCCTCAAGTCGAAAGGTTTCCTGTTGTCGGAGACTCGAAGGAACAGGATGCGGCAGCGGCAACGATGTTTGAGTTGTGTTGACCAGCTGGCCGGGCATGGGCGCTTTCCACTGACAAAGCGAACAAAGAACCTCGGTTAGCTTTGATGAGCTGATCGGTTTCTCGATGAGCGAGTCAAAGAGATAAGGCCCGTTCAGATCCTTCAAGTAGGCTGTGATCGCAACAATGGGAGTATGGGTGTTTGCATGCTTGGTCTCGCGTATCATACGGGCAACGTCCCAACCTGAAATCTGCGGCAACCTAAACTCCAGGAAAATGATGTCGAACTTGATGTCGCTCATGGCGTATCGAATGGCCTCAGGACCTGTTGATACGGCAACGGTACGGCACCGCAGCTTCTCCAGGAGTTTTTCCATCACCATGCGGGAGATGGGATGATCATCGCATATCAAAACGTCGAGGGCACGGAAAATAGGAATGCCCTCATTTGCCGCGATATATGACATGCGTCTCGAGCTTTGACGCCGTCGTTGAACTCTGAGCAGCGCATTGGCCTTGTCGCCCTCGTTGTCCGAGGATGATGGTGACATGTCAAATACTTGGCTGCGACGATTCTTATGAGCAGCCGCCAAGAAGAGATCTGCTGCCACCGGGCTACCTTCTTGCGAGCCCACCGTCAACGAACGGGAACGTCCGCCGACGGAGCTTCCGCTGTGCCTGGGAGTAGACATCAGGTGATTCGGCATTGGCTTTGACGGTGACGAGAGCGGCAGCGGAGGCAACCCTCCCCCACGACTTTTCACCGGGGACGGTGAAGCAGCAACACTAGTGGCCGCTTTCTGCAGACTAGGCGGAACGCGGGGTAGATCGAAGAAATTTCCCGGCTGCAGTGAACTTGTCGTTGTTGAGGGCTGCGATGTATTCGAGTTCGCAGAGGCCTTGCGTCTATTCTCGCCTTGGCCTGCCACAAAAGAGACCAATAGGGGCGACGAAGGCTGGGAAGCACGACTGGGAGACGAGTTGGCGTGGCTCAGACCAGAGGGCGACTGGGGCCGTTGAGTAGCTTTGGCATTGGATAGCGTCCGCTGAACCGGATTGGCAATGATGGGACTACCCTCAAGGCCTGTTCCGGTAGAAGTAATGCTGTTGTTGCTCGCTCCGCCGGGACTGATGGGTTTGTTTGAGCCCGCGAGAGCTTCTGCGCGCAGTTTCTGGATCACATCCTTGTTCGCCTTTTCGAGAACAGGCAGGTTCTTGAAAGTGAAATTCCCAAAGTCATCAGCGGCCACAGGTTCACTGAGCCTCCGGCTACTCTTGTGGTCTCTAACGTGCGGAGGAATGTGCAGAGGCATCAAACCACGCTTCATGGAGTTGACCTGGGATCTAACCCGAGACAGGGCATCGTGCGGTCGGTCAAAATTGTCGGAAAGGGGGCCACCGGGAGGGGGCGAGCTCTGATCCTCCATCTCTTCCACAAAAGACTGGAGCGTGGCGCCACGGGAGTCAAAGTACTCGGTATCCTCAGGGTCTTCCGGCTGGGGCACAAACTCGGCCTCATCCTGAAGCAACGTGTCCCAGTTCACACCATTGAACCAAGGATGATGACGGATTTCCTCGCCTCCGCTCTGGAACTTATCGTCCTTGTTAGCACCCAGGCGTTGGCTGGGATCCATACAAAGCAGCTTGTTGATGATATCTTTGGCCT